TAATGGTAAAAGAACAGATCTGCTCTCAACACAGAGGCGGCGGACAGTGCTATTTATGCTATTTCATTAATAGCAATTTTTTTCCAAAGAAATGTTCTGCTTTTGTATTAGACAAATTAATGTAACATAAATTATACGAGTAAAATCTTTTCTGGATCTTGATTTCCTTATCCAGTTCCTTCATTCCATGATTTATTTGACCCCTCTGTGCTTTTTGATATTGCGATTGCCCGACTTAATCTATTCAAAGAATGCCGCGTGTATACCTTTCTGATCCACGCTGTGGCCGTCGATGGCCATGCTATTACTTGGCCCTTCTGAATAGCAAACGGAGGAAACTAATAGGAGTTGCGCCATAGTGTGGCTATGGTGTGACGCAACGGGCTATTGTGAAATACGCATATCTGACAGCCTTGCTATTAAATTCTTGGAATGAATAGCAAGAGCTCACACGCGATCACGCATACAAATCGTCAGTTCGATAAACGTTGGGAAGAGAGTAGAGACCTTTTCAGATACAAAATGAATCAAGTAGCGTCAGGTGGTGTACGATGGGGTGTTTCAACTGTCTTTTCCCTCATATCTATGCAAGGAGGTAAATTAACTCATGAACAGCGCCTTCGTCTTAAAAAAGACGGACGCCCATGCCCCGATGTTAAAGTTAAAAGTCGTTCGTGTGAAGCTGTGTATAGAGGTTTTTCTTGGATATGTGGTGATTCAGAGAAGAATACATATTTCTGCTGGCCATGTTTAGTCATGGGAGATCATTTGAAGGTAAGAAGATTACTATTTTCTATTTACTATTTTCTCTCGTCGGAAAGTCTCGTTTATAGCGGCTTTGCTATTACAAATTGAAGATGAATAGCAGGGCTTTTAACGAGCGGCGGAGAGCCGCGGTAGTCTAAACAGCCCTGCATATGTAGCCACCTTTTACAAACGCAAGGAATTGTGGCATTTTCATGAACACACTTATTCACAAGACACCGATTGATCAGATGTCCCTGTCATAGTCCCTACAAGAAGCCATTTTAGTATTACTTATGCTCAAGTTTACGAAACTGACCATCTATAACTTAATGTTTAGGTTTAGGCATAGTTAACTATCGTTTAGGCGTTTAGGTAAAGACTACATTTGCTGTAATTGTTTCCATTACTACCAAGATACCAAGGGGTGTATCACTCTTCCCAAAAGGCGTCCGAGATTTTTTAAAACATTAGTATTTTTTGCCAAAGGTGTACGAAGGTGATACGCTCCTCGATTTCTACAAACAACTATTTGAAATTAAGAGCAGTTTGATGCTAAAATCGAGCTAAATATAAAAAACAAGGTTGCAACTCCACTGTAACTTTTATAAAAATGTGGGTGATAATAGAAGAATTTTTATCAATTTATTCACATAATTTATTTCAGATGAAGGCTTGCTTCGTGCAACCAACTGGATTTGCATCTGATGGCAGGAATTTGTCGAATGTTGCTAACAGGCACCAAGAATCAAAAAGTCACATGACATGTCACGCTTCGTACAAGCTTTTAGGGAATGTGGATGTGGCCAGTGCACTTGATGAAGCAAGACAGAGAGAAATTCTGAGACATAATGAAAATGCATCAAGATATTCAAAGATGATGAAGCACCATATTGATGTTGCAGTCTACTTGTCTGCCCAAGGACTCGCTTTCCGGGGGCATTCTGAAGACAAATTCTCTCCAAACAGGGGAAATTTCATTGAATTGATGGACTTGTTAGGGAACTACAGTCAAGAGTTGCGAGTTTTCCTAGACAAGGAACGGATAAGTTACACCTCCCACGACCCACAAAACGAATTGATCAAATGCATTTTCCAAGAAGTCCAGAATGAAATTCGAAATCGAGTAAGTGCTTCCAGATGTTTATCCGTAATGATGGATGACACTAGTGACTTGAGCAACACGGAGCAGTCGGCTGTTTCAGTGAGACTTATTCATGATGGGAATGTCGAAGAACATTTGCTTGGCCTCACAGATGCATCTGACGATCAATCTGCTGATGGGCTTACAAAGATCATGATAAAAATATTAGGGAGCTACAATGTTACTCCTGAGACAGGAAAGAGAAAGCTGATTGGACAATCATATGATGGTGCGGCGACAATGAGTGGCGAGCTCAATGGTGTGCAAAAGAGAATGCGAGATTACTTTCCACTTGCCTACTACAACCATTGCGTTGCACACAGGATGTCACTTTGTGCGTCGCAGTCATCGATGAAAATCCCAGAAGTGGCTAAATTCTTTGGAATATTAGACAAGCTGATAACGTTTTTCCGAAGCAGTCCCAAGCGAACGCGATACCTTGGATATAATCTTCCAAAGCCTGGTGATACAAGGTGGCTTTCTCGAGACACGGCCATTACTGCAATCGATTCGTGCTACGAGACAATCGGCACAGTCTTATACCAGATGTCTTCGAATGGGAGAGAGAAAGTCGACACCCAAACGACAGCCAGAGGTCTTCTTGCCAACATCCAAAATGTTGACTTTCTATGTTTACTGAAGTTGTACAGGAAGATCTTTGAGCATTGCACGCCAATTATCACCGTTATGCAGAAGCCAACATTGGATGCTGTTCAGCTGAGATCTATGCTCGACGACTTCCAACGTTTTCTTGCTGCACTAAGCTTTGAAGACATTTGGCAAATTACACTCGATGCGGACCCAAGTTTCCCCGTAGAACGAGCCAGAGCAGGATGGAGAGGAAGGGAAACGCACAATAATGGATCCGAAGATGCTTGGAAAGAGAAGCTGTCGATTGTGGCATCAAAAGTATGCATCGAGTTTTCAGGGCAGATTTCATGGAGATTCGAGAACCTCAAAAAATTCAAGTGGATGGATCTGATTCACCCCGCCAAGTTTGCAGAGAATGTCAAAAGGCCTCCTAATGAGATAAAAGAGCTCATCAGAGAATTCGGAGATTTGTACCCATTTGCCGTTCATGACATAAATTCGTTCATGACACAATTTGGAAGTTTTATACAATAACCATGAGATCTCGCTGCTTCTTCGTAAATGTGCGAACGAAAGGAACAGAGCCATGAAGCAAAGGAGAGCAAGGCACAGAAGTAATAAAGCAAGCCATCGCGAGGAAAGTAGCTCTGGTGACCAGGTGATGGAAGAGGTGATAGACGTGGAAGAAATTGACGAATTTGAAATTAGAGAAAGTACGGGTCTTGAGGGAGACATTGCACACGGAGAAACATTGAGTATGCAAGACCTGCTCACTGTAATACATAGCACGGACCTTGCTGATGCTCTTCCGCAGGCAATGGTTCTCCTGGAAGTTGCAGCAGTGACCCCACTCACAAGCGTACACTGCGAAAGAGTGTTCAGCCAGCGTTATCGAAATCAGCTATCGATGTGTCTATACAGATGCCCACACAATATGCTCCTCGCACCACGTAAATCAGTAGACACCACTCTGTTCTCTCACACATATTGTTGAGTCATAGAGCTAATAGTTACATTGGATCATCTCGGTTACACACCAACTTTTATCAGAGGTGTGTGGAGTTCAGCAGGTCAGACGAGAGCAAATTACAGCTGAATCGGCTCGTGTCGAACTAGATTTTTCGGAGTGCGTGCCATTTTTCGAATAGATGTGCTTGAAAAATGATGATCAATTTGCTGATTACCACGAATTTTAGTAGTGACTTAGTAAAATATCCCAATCAGTACTACTATACAAGTAATGTTTTACTTAGCACGAAATGTTTTCCTTCTTTCTTTCACTATCTCTTAGTTTATCGTATCTTATATAGAAATTTTGTGTGATTTTTCAGAACAGAGAGCTAGAATAGTTTGCACTAACCATCGAGCGAACTCATTATCATATACTGGTGACAAGCCAGATATACGAAACTTTATCAATCTGATATATACATTGCTTAAAGGATGGGCGTTCCAGGACACACTTTTTTTAAGGCGCGTAGGCCCCGTTTCCCACATCCGTGTGTGTGATCATCTCGCTGTCGCTCGCGATTAATAGCACATTTATTATTGCTCCCGCCGCACCCTTGTCTCAACATTGTATGCTGCAATGACCATTATTAACTAGAATCTTCTTACATATAGCATATATATATGCTTTAGCCTTATAAGGTTTTATAGCCATGCTTCTTAAAGTACAAATATCTCATCCCAGTTTATCATAATTATTACGTCGTCTATTTCACATCTCTCTCAGACAGAATCTCTACTCTCTCGTCTTATACATAACAGTTCTCTGTCTATATATATATGAGAGAGATGCTGCTTAAATACATATGCTAATTATGATAAAACTGGGATGAGATATGTTAACTTTAAGAAGCATGCTACCTATAATTGTGTCTAGACATTGATCTAAACAGCTAATGTCAAGGATTCAGTTAAATAATGTCATATGCAGCATACATGTTGAGACAGGCCGGCGGGAGCAATAATAAATCTGCCTATTAATCGCGAGCCGAAAGCGATGTGAACAACGTGGGTCCGGGGGCCACGCCCTTTAAAAGGCGGAAACGCCCATCCTTACAAGAGGGATACAGATATAAAAATTATCCACTGCTTCCTAAATGATGGTCTAATTTTCCAAAAACTACGCTCGGTTTCTAAACAAATCCACAAAAAATTTCTATTAAGATACGGAAATATATTTTTGAAAAAAAAGAAAACATATATACAGATATACACAACATTATTGTTGTTTTTATTTATTTTTACAACAACGTGTATCGCAAATTGATCATTTTTCAAGCACATCTATGAAAAAAATTGCAGTTATTTCTTTAAAATCGTTTCGAGCCGTCGCTGATTGCTTCTCTCTTGAACCTGCTAACAAACATTCTGATAAAAGTTGGTTGTTTTTGCCAATGATCCGCAATGTTACCATGCTCAACTTGTAAGAAAAACAAGGTGTTCCTTTCTTTCTTGCAGCATTTTATCTCGATCTCTGAAATCACCTTTTCATACGGCTGAACACTCTTCGCAGTGTAAAAGCTTGTGAGTGGGGTTCACTGCTGCAATTCCAGGAGAACCATTGCCTGCGGAAGACATCTGCAACGGTCCGTGCCTATGTATTACAGGAGCAGGTCTGGGCATACTCCCAATGTTTCTCGTGTGCAATGTCTCCCAAGACCCGTACTTTCTCTAATTTCAAATTCGTCAATTTCTTCCACGTCTATCACCTCTTCCATTCACCTGGTCACCAGAGCTTACTTTCCTCGCGTGGCTTGCTTTATTACTTCTGTGCCTTTGCTCTCCTTGTGCTTCATTGGCTCGTTCCTTTCGTTTCGCACATTTACGAAGAAGCAGCGAGATCTCATGGTTATTGTATAAAACTTCCAATTGTGTTCCACTGAATTTTATGTCATGAACGGCCAAATGCGCGTACAAATCTCCGAATTTCTCTGATGAGCTCTTTTATCTCATTAGGAGCCTTTTGACATATCTTGGCAAACTTGGCGGGGTGAACAGATCCATCCACTTGATTTTTTGAGGTTCTCGAATTCTCCATGATCTGCCTGAAAACTCGATGCATACTTTTTGATGCCACAATCGACAGCTTTCTCTTTCCAAGCATCTCGGATCCATTATTGTGCAACGTTTCCCTTCCTCTTCCATAACTGCTTCTGGCTCGTTTCTACGGGAAACTTGGAGTCCGCATCGAGTGTAATTTTGCCAAATGTCTTCAAAGCTTAGTGCAGCAAGAAAACGTTGGAAGTTCGTCGAGCATAAGATCTCAGCACTGAAGCAGCATCCAATGTTGGTTCTGCATAACCGGTGAAATTGGCGTGCAATGCCTCAAAGATCTTCCTGTACAACTTCAGTAACATAGAAAGTCAACATTTTGGATGTTGGCAAGAAGACCGCTGGCTGTCGTTTTATTTTTCGGGTGTCGACTTTCTCCTCTCCCATTCTTAAGACATCTGGTATAAGACTGTGCCGATTGTCTCGTTTAGCACGAATCGATTGCAGTAATGGCCGTGTCTCGAGAAAGCCACCTTGTATCACCAGGCTTTGGAAAGATTATTATCCAAGGATATCGCGTTTCGCTTGGAGCTGCTTCGGGAAAAAACGTTAATCAGCTTGTGCTTAATATTCCAAAGAATTTAGCCACTTCTGGGATTTTCATCGATGACTGCGACGCACAAAGTGACATCCTGTGTTGCAACGCAAGGTTGTAGTAGCAAGTGGGAAGGTAATCTCGCTTTCTCTTTTGCACCACCATTGAGCTCGCCACTCATGTCGCCGCACATCATAATGATTGTCCAATCAGCTTTTTCTTCTTTCCTGTCTCAGGAGTAACATTGTAGCTCCCTAATATTTTTATCATGAATCTTTGTAGCCCATCAGCAGATTGATCGTCAAGATGCATCTGTGAGGCCAAAGCAAATTCTTCGAATTTCCCATCATGAATAAGTCTCACTGAAACAGCCCGACTGCTCCGTGTTGCTCAAGTCACTTTGGTGTCATCCATCATTACGGGATAAACAATCTGGAAAAGCACTTACTCGATTTCGAATTTCATTCTGGACTCTTAGAAAATGCATTTGATCAATTTCGTTTTGTGGTCGGGGAGGTGTAACTTATCCGTTCCTTGTCTAGGAAAAACTCGCAAACTCTTGAACTGTATAGTTCCCTAAACAAGTTCCATCAATTCAATTTGAAAATTTGTCTCCTGTTTGGAAAGAGATTGCATTCTTCCAAGAAAATGCCCCGAACGCGGAAAGACACTCCCTTGGGCAGACTCGCCTTGCAACATTCCCAATCATGGTGCTTCATCATCTTTGAATATCTTTGATGCATTTTCAAAATTATGTCTCATAATTTCTCTCTGTCTTCTTCATCAAGTCACTGGCCACAATACCACATCCCTAAAAGGCTTGCTACGAAGGCTGCGTGAACATGTCATGTGACTTTTTGATTCTTGGTGCCTGTTAGCAACATTCGACAAATCCTGCCATCAGATGCAAATCCAGTTTGGTTGCACGAAGCAAGCCTTCATCTGAAATAAATTATGTGATAAATTGATGAAAAATTCTTCTATACTCACATTTATAAAAGTTACAGTGGAGTTGCAACCTTGTTTTTTATATTTAGCTCGATTTTAGCATCAAAAACTGCTCTTAAATTTCAAATAGTTGTTTGTAGGAAATCAGGAGGCGTTAATCACCGTTCGTACACCTTTTTTTTTTTCTTTTTTTTTTTTTTTTCCTCCTCCCCTTTCTTTTCTTTTGTTTTTGTGGTTTTTTCTTTTTTCTTTTTTTTTTTTCTTTTTTTTCTCTACTATAGTCGGATCTTTTTTTTATTTCTATTTTTCTTGTCCTCTTTTTTTCTTATGTCTCGGCTCTACAATGTTTTAAAAATCTCTGACCCTTTTTGGGAAGAGTGATACACCCCTTGGATCTTCTTAGTAATGGAAACAATTACAAGCAAATGTAGTCTTTACCTAAACGCCTAAACGATAGCTACACTATGCCTAAACCTAAACATATAGTTATAGATGGTCAGTTTCGTAACTTGAGCATAAGTAATTACTTAAGATGTTTCTTTGGTAGTGATCTTTATTTGATCGGATCATCTATTCTTAATCTTTCTTTGTAATAAGTGTTCATAGAGTATGTCACTATATTTTGTTTCTTTTGTATAAATTGTTCTTTTCTTATATGGCAAGGCTGTTTAGCATACCGCGCTTCCGCCGCTCGTTTATTAGAAGTCCTCATGCTATATTTCAGCTTCAATTTGTAATAGCAAATGCCAGCTAAACGAGACTTCCGACGAGAGAAAATAGAAATAGAAATAGTAATCCTTTCTTACTTCAAATGATTCTCCATGACTATAACTGGCCCAGCAGAAACATGTATTCTTTCTGAATCACCACATATTCCAAGAAAAACCTCTATACACAGGCTCAACGAACACTTTTAACTTTAACTGGAGCATTGGGCGTCCGTCTTTTTAAACGAAGGCGCTGTTCATGACTTAATACCTCCTTGCATAAT